TCCTCGAGAACGGTGATTTACATTTTAATAGAGACGAGGGACGGAAGTAGAGGCGTCGCTAGAGTTCACGGTCCTCGTCTCGTCTCGTTTCTTCGAGTCATTAGGAAAATGGATCCGCCCTGGTGCTCGATGGGAGGAACACAGAGAGTAACATGGTCACGGAAGGGAAGGAAGGAGGAGATCGGTGGACGTCTGTGTATGCAAGGTCTATAAAAAAGAAAAAAAGGCTAGATGTCTAGGACGACGGGGAGGGGGTCAATCAGCGAAATTAAAGAAAAACGTTGGCCCAATTGAAAAAGTTTTCCGCGTGGATGAAGGAAGATGGACTACTCTGGTAGAAGATACGGGCAAACAGGGAGTAAATGTTTAAACTGGAACGCGGCACCGGGAAAGGAATTACATTTAAATTAGATTACGGGCCCAGTAAATATTGGAATTCTACTTCTAGCCGTCGTCCCGGATGGAATCGTAATACAAAATATGAATAAATATCCCTATCCCCATCTATATATATATATGCACCTACTATCTTCCGTTTCCATCGTCTACGCCTTCTACCCCTTTGCTTCCGGTTAATTTCGTTGATACCCTCCACTTGTTACGCGTTATTCGCGCCGACGGCTGCGAGAGGAACAGGAAGAGAAAGTAAACGAGAAAGGGGGTAGAAAGAGAGAGAAGAACGCACGCGGCGCATCTGGAATTTAATTAGCTTAATTAAATCCGGATACTTGCTGAGCCTTGCGCATTTCCGCGAGAACTGCACACACCGGGGATCCCTTGACCTGAAATCACGATGAAAGAATGCGTTTGAACTGTGACTCGCACCAGGCTCCGCTAAAATATGTAGCCCCGGTTACCGGGGATTCGGATGGGGAACAGACAGAGAGAGAAGGGAGGGATTGGTTGCATTCTGAATACTGGATTTTTAAAAGAGAGCCCCGGAGTTGAACGGGAAATTTTTTAAAAATGCTCCACCAGGCTCGGCGAAATGCTCCAAGCCGAAAAACGCGCGCCCGTTTCATCCTCGCGGCGGCTGTTTTTCGCGAATTTCAGAGGCGTTTCCCTCTACGCTGGAAAACATCGATGCTATAAAATATCGTGGCCGAATAGGGGAACGAGGGGGGGGGAACAAGGATTCCTGAGCGTTCGCGGTTAAAAAGTGCTTTGACGGAGGACGCTAAGCCGGAGGAAACAATTTTCCACGTTTCCCGAATATTCTCTCTCTCTCTCTCCCTCGAAATATTCGTCGCGATGGAATAACACGAAATGATTAGCGAAAGAAATGAGAATAAAACGTACGGTGCTTGAAAATATCAAGCTTGCCGATTCTTCCTTTTTCCTCTTTTTTTTCGCTGCACAATTTTCGCTACACCACTTTTCCACCCTTTTTTCCACGAAATTCTTTTCAATATTTATCCCTCGACTGCTGCGCGTCTGTGTGCGAGTGTTGCAATCGCGAAACGCTCAATCAGATGGATTATCGTTGTGAAATTCCGTAGTTACGTTCCGGCCATCAGATCGAGGTGCCAGACGCTCGTAATTTCACTTCATCCGCACGTTTCCGGGGGTGGAAAAAGACAGTATCGAACGAAATCTCGCGAGAGAAATAAGGAGCGTTTCGCGTCAACGTCGTTTTCAGCCAAACTGCAAGTCGTTAAGTCAAACTCGAGAATTTCGAGCAACCACGCGCTCGACACTGACAAATTCACGCTTAACAAAATAATTACCGAATAATTAATTTGCAGCGCAAAAAACGAAAGAACAAAAATGGTAGAAAATTCGATGCAACGAGTTCTACCACCGACGAGTCGCAAATTTTATCCACATTTTGCGCCCCGACCTGAAAATTCCTTCGTTCCTCTCTCGTCGATACAGGCGGCAAATGCAACTGGGCCAGAATTACACGGTCTATCTTCGTTCACGAGCAACAGACAGCCGAATCCTATTCCATTTGACCTGCTCCCGTGATCTAACCCCGACGCGAACCAAGAGAAAGAGAGAGATAGAGGAAGGTTCCCGAAGGGAGGCTCGATGGAAGGAAAAGGGGGCGGGTCGCGTTCATGATTCAATCAGTGAAGTTAAAGCGAGCGCGAAATGACGCCGCGTAAACTCACAGCAAAACTCCCTTTTCATCCCTTCGAAGCGTGTTAACTCCGAACAACCACCGATCCTCCCTTTCAATTTCATTTATACATACACTACACCAACCCCATATTGCGATACTTTCTATAACTTATTTTAACTCTGATTCTCAACGCTGTCTACCTGTAACTCGGTGAAAAACGGTGGGAAAATCGTGCACCGATGAATTTCACCCGACGTATACGTGACAGAGGGACACACAGACATTTGTCAGAGGAGTAATGTGAAAAAATATTTTCTGTGGCAATAAGCTCTTACGAAGAGATAAGTCTGGCTGTTTCGAATGGTTAATGGGTTTCCGTGCTCGCGAACAACGAGTGAAAGAGGCTCGCTAAAGACACGAGTCTAACGATATTTCTCGGTTACTTTAGCTGTATTTTTACAAAAAATATCCCGCCGTGGAGGATCGCTTAAAGACGCAATTTAATCGGGAACTTTACATTCCATTACGCCGAAGAAAAAGTGCCGTATCGCCTGGAACTACTATGTTCCTCTCTCTCTCTTTGCTGTTCCGTACTCCTACTCCACCTCCTCGCCGTCTACGGCTCGAATCGCTTTTTAAAAAGCTTCCTGTCCGTCTGGAGAGACTACTCCGTTGGAAAGTTCCCCTTTGAAGCGGATCCCCCGTCCAACTTTCATCGCAACCGGCCAGGCCTTCGTCATCGGTAAATATTATCGTTGGACCGAGTACGGCTGGGAAACGGAAAACGCGAGATCTCTCTCCTCCTCTGATCGTGAAACGCTAAAATTCCCCGGACGACTCCGGTGAAAAACAACGATTCGCGCGAAATTCTGGTTACCGGACACAAGCGTGGAATTTTATTTTCTTCGCGCGGGCGAAACGAAGTTTCGACTTTCCACGTCCATCGACCGCGTCGTAACGTGCGCTTCTTCTGAGAGAGGCACGAGACCGGTCGCTTTTTCGACGCTATTCTCCAACTGGTCGGGAACATCGGAAAGAGGAAAAACTCTTTTCCTCTACCGCACAACGCTGACCAACAACCCCCGCGCTGCTTCTGGTTCACTCCGAAGAAATTCGCGCGGCAACGCGTGCACGGAATTTTCCGCGCCCCCTTTTCTCTATATTCTCGAATAATGTTTCGCGACGCATTTTGCGGCCACGGCCACGCAAACTCTGTCGAGTAAATATTTAACGCAATCTGGCGCAAGCACGGAACAATCCCCGTTGAAAACGCGGGGATACGGTCGCAGCCAGGACCGCGAAACTGTTCGGTTGCATTAGTAGCTTTCAGAGCTGCGGACGGTTAAATGTTTCACAGAACTGAAGGATCGCTGGGTGGATTCTGCGAAGATTGATCGATACGCAAGGTCGAGGATTTTACTTTGTATTATTCTCTAAGTATAGTCACATTTCTTCGTTCCGATTAAACGAATCAGAGATAAATTGCTGCATAATATCGTTCTTCTTAACCCTTTCGCTACTATTCGCGCCTATAGACGTTTCGAAAATTTCCTACACTTCCACCTTAATTTAACCCTGAATTTCATTCTTCGCCCAGTTTCACTTAAGAAATTCACCATCTGTAACACACGTGACGTGTTAAAATCTACCGTAGCGAAAGGGTTAACACGACCATTCACACTCAGATTGCCCAAAAATTCCACGACAAACAAGAACTGTCTCTAAAACCGTATTCCTCCAAAAACACGGGCTGGCTGGAGAAAATTTGTAAAAAGGACATTTCCTCTCGAACGATATCCCAATACCATTGGCGAACGAACACGAGCTCGAGCTCCCTCGCCGTCTCCCCCGTGTCGCTTATATCTTTACGAGGCGATGCCGCGTTTCTCACGCTGCTTGGCCAGCGACGCGAAAATCCGCGACGCCGGAGGCTTGAGAAGGGGAAGAGAGACTGAACGAATAGGAGCGAACATCCGGGCTGTTCCTGTTTAATCCGCCAAAGCTAGACGCGATCCATCTTCGTCGTTGGTTGTCGTCACGGTCTCTTCCCTTCTTCCAGCCATGTACACTCGGTCTTCGACTCCTCTCCTCGAGTCGCTTTTAGCGCACCCGAGCATGCTGTCGGTTTCTCAGGATCGTTACACTCATTGTCAGTTGTGAACGCGCAGCCACGCTAACGAAATCTTCCTCCCACCTTGTTGTTCCCTCTCCCGTCCCTCTCTTTTCGTCGTTGTTGCAAGTCCAAAGCCAGTTGACGCAGTCAGCGACTCGGCCACCTGGGAAATATCGAGTAATGCCCGCAAAGCTGCTTTCTCTCTCCTCCTTCCTTCTTTATCCTCCCTCTCTTCCGTGCTTCCACTTCACAAGCTTCCCTCTTTTTCCCTAATGTTGTCTGCCTCTCGTTTCTTGCCTCCGGTATATATCCAAACGCCTTTTCCCTCCTCGTCTACGGCACAGAAGTGTTTCTAGGAACGTGTAAGGGAAAGAAGGAAGAGAGAGAGAGAGAGATGAAAAGGAGCATCCGCGAAAATTGCCCAGACTTCCTTCCGTCTCGAGCTCCGTAATTCGGGATTACGAACACGCGCCGCCCCCGGACGCTGATGATTTAATTTATCGGCTAGCACAGACGGAATAAAAAGACCCGTGATTGGCTATTGTCGAAGCAACGCGTCGAAATTCACCTCGAGTAGAATCGATCCGTTGTTTTAAAGCGTGTTCCTCCGAGTGGAAAATCTCACGAGGAACTTTCTCGGGGGAGGAAAAAAGCGCGCTGTACGTGGCTAATTTGCTTCAAGTTTCTTAAAGTGCGTCGAAGGATTGATAGAATATGTTCTCGATAGAAGAGAGTTTCGTGAATTTTTCTGTCGTGCTCGTTTTTCTTCTTCTTCTTCCATGTTTCACGCGTCTTTCGAGAATTCTCGCGTGAATCATCTTCTTAGGAATTTTTCATACTCGCTGTCTCGTCAATCTCGTTTCTTCTTGCTGCCCGTGTTCTTCCGGCTAGTCAGACGTTTGAAGACTCTGTAGGATAGGTAGAGAACGAGCAAAAAAACGGCTACCAAAAACGCGCCGACGTCGATGAGATTGCGCTGAAACCAGGACAAGTTCGCACGTTCGCTTCGAATGTACGGGACACCGTGGCCTCGACCGACGTACTCTGTCCACCATACTGCTGTCTCCATGGGGGTGCTCGGGCGGTCTTTGAACGCCTTCGCGAGCTTCTTCGCGTTCTCGCGGTACCTGGAACAGAGGGAAACGAAATCGTCATTTTTTTTAATACGTAAAATCCCAAAATTGAATTCGGTGCAGTGTCCCAAGTGGCAGAGACGTTAATGGGTCCCATAGTTCCCTATATCGTGGCCTGTGCTATACAGAATGCAGCCACAAGAATAATACAAGCGGACAGGAGGTGATTTCTTGTGCGAAAATAAGTGAAAAATGTAAAATAAAATTTTTTGAGTTTGAAAATTGCGAGAACTCCAGTTTCAGCAATTCCCTAAATGATAATATAATAGAATATCATCTCTGTGCTATCATAAGTCTTGTTTCGAAACTTCACTTTTCCCCAAAAACTGAGCCTTGGATAAGAAACTTTATTCTACAAGTTTCGTTTATTTTTGCAACAAAGAATCACTTCGTGTCCTCCTGCAAAATACTATCTACAATCAGATTGGAACTTTCGCGGAGAACATCGCACGCAAGGTGCATCTTTAAACCTTTCCAACAGGATTATACGACGTATAATTATTCCCGGACGAGGAAGTGACAGAGTGAGCCGGCAGCAAATCATCGATCGCCGATTATACCGTGTCCCTGTCGAATTAAACGCCTGGTATCTATCCTGTCTCCAGTTTGCATCCTTTTTCCGGCCTGTGTCTGCTTGTCGCCCGTATCCCATTTCCCAACCCTCTTCCAATACACATACAAACACACACGCGCGCGCGCGCGCGCGTAGAGCATAGGTATAGAAGCAGTTCTCGCGGCAATAAATTAATTCCCTTGGCGCAACGTCTGTCTGACACCCTCGAAAACATCGTAGCCTGTCCCCGGTATGGTGGATACGTCGGGTCGTAGCGTTGACGGAAGGCACGTCGAACGCGCTTAAAATTGATGGTTAATTCAAAACCACCGCAGGGCTGCGACTGAATTTGACCGAGGCAAATAACAGGGGGGACCAGGTTGATTCGCGGCCTGCAGCTGTAAACACGAATAATGGAGAGTACCGATTGGTAAATTGTGTGCTCCGGCTCGTCGAGGCTGGTCGCGAACTCGCAACCCTGTGTTCCCTTTACCCCTTTCGTCTAGCCTCTCTACGTCTCTCTCTCTCTCTCTCTGTTATTCCCCTTCATCTCTCGTTTATTCCAATCGTTGTACGTTTTTTTCTTTTTTTTCTTTCTCCTGTTTTTTTTTTTTTTACATCATTTTACATGTCTCTCTTTCTTGATTGGCGAACAACAATTCGAGTGTGTGCACCTGTGTGTAGGTATATGTGCGTAGTGTATACAGAGGACAGATGTACAGAGAGACAAGAGTACAGAGTGTTCGATTGGAATGGACACGCGTTTTGAGAGAATGTCGCAACAGGGGCAGGTTGTTTTCGATAGCGAAGCGTATATACCAGATGGATTGTCATCGATATAGGAAACACACAAGCTTGTTTCCAGGCGAACGATAAGCGCGCCGTTAAAAGCTCTCGGAGATATTTATAAAAGTATCCCCGCGGCATCTTTTTGCCTGCATCTCTAGCCGCGATATCGAGTGGATCGATCGGTATATTTCATGAATTATTCATCGGGTACCGGGCTATTGTATCGCCGGGGCCGCGGTGGTTGTTAAAATTGAAGCTTGAAAAAACATCGAACGCTCTGCATCACCGATAACTCGAAGGCGGCGACGGTAAATGCAAACGTGGGACGGTGGATGCGTCGCGACGCGGCTAAAAATCGTCGTGTTATGCGAAGCTTAATATATCGCGTGGCTTTCAAATGTTCGCTGCCACCGTCGAACAGCTGTCGACGCAGAATCGTTTAACTCCGTGTAGCAACGTTGACAGTGTGTAGATCAATCAACTGACCGATTTGTTAACATGTTTGCTACCACTGTCGAAGCATCGTCGACACACTAACGCCACATAGTGTTTTTATAAACAATTGTAAACGAATTTATTTGGTAGAAAAATTGAGTGTTTCCTCACCGACTGAGATAAAGTTTAAAATTTTCTGTGACTTCAATTGGACCACTGTCGAAGCATCGTCGACACACTAACGCCACATAGTGTTTTTATGAACAATATGAAACGAATTTATTTGGTAGAAAAATTGAGTGTTTCCTCACACACTGAGATAAAGTTCAAAATTTTCTGTGACTTCAATTGGACCACTGTCGAAGCATCGTCGACACACTAACGCCACATAGTGTTTTTATAAACAATTGTAAACGAATTTATTTGGTGGAAAAATTGAGTGTTTCCTCACCGACGGAGATAAAATTCAAAATTTCCAAAAACAGAATTAAAAATTACACCGAACAAAATTTTTTTATTGCAGCCAAAGAATGCCCCTTTCTACGAAACTAAAAAGTATCGCGATACCTTAACTAATTCATCCGAAAAAAATTGTCGAAATTAGCACATTTTTCAAGCAATAAAAGTAAGAGATCGCAAGGAAGAAAATGAAATATTAATTGAGAAAATGACATCGAGCCCTGGGAGTGCATCTACATCAATGACGGATGGTTCGGGGGGAAAGTAGGTGGGTAACGGAGCGTTATCGGAAAACGGGTGAAATTATTTAACCGGGAAAGTCTGAAGGCAGATGTCGCGAAAGTTACGCTCGGAACCATTTCTATCCCCATTTCTGAGGCCGACTCGTATCTCCGGGGGATCATAATTCCCGCGATATCTCGGATCGTTGTCGCTCGGCTACGGCCCGGCCCCGACACGTTACGAACTTACTTTCCGACTTGCAACGTTATCTCGCGGGCGGCAAGGCCTGCGCCTGACTTTCACACGCCGAAACTCATTCGGCCGCAACTCATCCGCACCCGGGCCACCGGTGCGCGCCAGCTGAATTACACCGGTTAGGGGATTCTAATTGCAAACGGAGAAAGAAAGATGTTCCACAGTGTTCCAGCGAACGCGCAATCCGCTACTCTACCACCACCACCACTACCACGCCGCTATTCGCTGAATTACTTTGTTCCATACCCTCTGTGTGACACTGCCAAGTGAAATTTGCCCCGGAGCTTGCGGAAAATTCGAGCGTTTACGAGTATGCAGGGAATGAACGTTATTCAATGAATATGTAACTTGGAATAGTGGAGCCTTAAATGTGAATACCAAGTGTTTGGATAGAGTGCTAAGGACTGAGTGTGCGATAAACCTAGGGTTTACCGAGTGAACGTTCGTCAACTGAATAATCTTTGGAAATGATACTTTTCTAACCCTTTGCACCCCTTCGTCGTGTGTGACTCGACGTCAATTTTACTCACAGGTACTCCTGTGGCGGGTACGTCGTCGTCAACAAACCCTTACCGAACGTCGTTCTATTCTTCCACACGAACGTTCTCTGTTCCAACTCCTTCAGATTTTAGTCCTCGAGTGGCCTAAGAAGGGCACATGTGGTATCCAGGAACGAATTTTCCGTTTCCACCACTTTCTCCACTTCTAGCTTTATCTATCGCTACTCCTGCCTCCCTGTCCTAACAATATAAAAACCCAGTACGCCTACACCTCCGGACAGTTTTTCCTTTACCGACCATCGCGACGTCCCCGCCGAACCGCTGCCGCCGGGACAATTAACAAAGTAAACGATTGTATTTTCTGGACAAATTGTACGCCTATACGACCATACACTTATACTTTAATAAACTGAGGTGAAAACAGTGTAACGACGTTCCTCACCCACAAAGTAAACGATTGTATTTTCTGGACAAATTGTACGCCTATACGACCATACACTTATACTTTGATAAACTGAGGTGAAAACAGTGTAACGACGTTCCTCACCTACCTCGCTGCTATATCGAGTCGCATTTTTAAATTGCAAGTTTACATATGTATTATATTTCACAGTATTCCTTTTATACTTAGATAAGCAACGTTACATGTATATGACCCTTTTTTGTGACAAAAAAGCCCAATTTTTACAGAATAGTGTCATATACACGTGACGAAGCAATTGTTTGCGTTGCTTCCTATCAACTAATTGTCCTTTGAAGTACACTTTAAATAAAGCACTTAAAATAATGCGGAGTTATTAGACAGAAACTGAAATAAAAAATTCGGAGTGCAAAGGGTTAAGGAGTGATCGAATTTCCTGGGATTCTTTACAATTTCATTCTTTTTTTTCGTTACACGAAGCACACCAAACTCTAACTTTTCCAGGTTGAAACGCGGTAGAATACTTTAAAATCGTATTAAAGGTGAGTTGAAATACCGCGGGTCTAACGTGAATGGAACTTATTCGAAAAACAGGAATTAACGAAGCACAAGATGAAAAAAAAGGACAAGGTGTGGTACACTAGCAGTGAACGTTGCATTCTAATTAACCGTGTATAAACCGTGAGAGAAGTCGGATGTAAAAAGCGAGAGGAGGGAGAGGGAAGGGGAAAAAAGGGCAGCAGTTCATTTCAGGTTCACGATGTGACTAGGTGCGAAAGCAGCGTAAAACAGGAGTCGCCCGACCGCGACGGAAAATTCAGTGGCAGCGTGCACGGAAGTCGCGCCGGCACATAACAAACGAGACTTCCGGTTATCGAGATCTCACCACGGTCCTTCGCCGGCTGCAAATTCCCCGGAAACGGAGTCACGAATATTCCCTTCGCGTCGTTGAATATGCAGCCCATGGCTACGGTGCAATTAAAATATTCACTCGACAAGACCAGCACGCGTCCGTTCTACGTATAGTACGTAACGGAAGTCGTTTCTTTACGCGAGATTTCTCCCCCGAAAAAAAGAAAAAAAAGGAAGTTCGTTCCGTCGTGGAACACGTTACAAGCGAAAACGTCTCTAAAGGTGGAAATTCGAGGTGGTCTGGCGCTAGAAAGTAATCTTCGTCCCCTCGTAATTCCTTCGAAGTTACTTTACGATTTCCCAGCTCGTTGTCGCCAACCTCTGGCTCTTCCACCACCACCACCTTTCCAGACACCTCGCCAACTTACTTTCCGACTTGTAACGTTATCGCGGCGAACCGAGAAGCTCAGTCTCCTTCTCCCGCGGCCAATTAGCCAGCGTAACCGAA